TTATTACATATTCGCAATTCACAGGAATTTCATGTTGTTGCTGTGTTTTTTATTATGTGTGTGTGTAAGGAATTGGATTTTTCACAGCGCGCGAACGGCCAACCGATTTTTAGCTTCTGCTCTAAACGTACACAGCACCCGACGACGTTCTCGTTATGACTGATTTTCACCACATGCATCCAAGGAACTGCTCCGCTGCGCCTGACGTTCATTTGCATTCGGCTTCTGTACTCTCTGGGTTGAGATGGCATCTTGCTGTCCAGCATCGCTCAAAGCAACTCTCGCTTACATTCGTGTTTCGTGCGTTCAATCTTCGGCTTTTATTTGTTCGGGTGATTTCGATTTAATTCGTTGTCCTGTGCCAAAACGTATTGTTTGTCCATATGCATGTACGTATGTTTGAATTTATACCTATTTTGTTAAACCAAGAATACTTTCGTAACTTGTTTGAGACCTCGTAAATACGTCGGAGCTTGAGAGCGGTAGTCTTTTAGCTCTCACTTATTCCCCAAAACTATTTTAACAAAAGTGTAAAATGGTCATATTCATGTATGCAGCTCACTTGTTCAATTGAGTGCAAAGTGATGAAAACGAAGAGAGTTCCAATTCGTTCAAATAAGTTATCTCGCTTTGTTTATAACACTTTTGCGCTTCGATGTCCTAAAGGGCTTTCATAACAAATTTAAGCTTTGAAAGCGCGTAATCCTCAATTCCCCAACCTTCTTGTTTCCTCTATACTTCAGTTTACTTATGTACTTCAAAATACGGTATCTAAATCCACGGAGCTTTTAACGTTTACAACTTCGTTTCCGCTCAGTTTCTTTGCAAAGGTTGGCCTTGCTCGAAGCTTTTTCCATTTTTCATTGCATATGCAGTAATGAAAAGCCTTTGGGCGTGTTTGAAGATTTAGAGCTTTTGCTCGCGTATAACAACTGAGTTCTCTTCGTTTAGCACTCTTCGACGTAAACGTTTTTGATGTTCGTATTAAATACACGATGTCACACTATGTCAAGTGAAAGTGAATTTGAAAGGTGGAAATATTTTGTAGCTGTTGTTGGTTTTACTTTTTTACCGACAAGCAGAGATAATACAATCTTGTTTATAGTTTAATTCCTACGAGTGCATGTATGTACATATGTATGTATGTATGTGTTACTAAAGCGTTACGGATTCAAGCACACTAAACGGTTTTGGGCCCAGTTTCGTACGGAATTTTTTAAATGGTGTTTTTGCAGATAAATGCAAGTAAATTAGTAAAATTTAACAAAAGACGAGCGAGACAAAAATTAACTATACACACATACATACATATGTTCCTTGTCGGCAATTTCGTAGTCGACTACCAAAATAGCAAATTTTTGACGCACTGTTTGCGGCTAACTTGTTATTGGTTTCAAAGTCATGCAGCACTCGACCCCTTCCCGCGAAATTATCGTAGCAGCAACGAATTTTCAAAATGAATGTTTTTTATGTAATTTTTTCTTTTGACTACCATTAGAATACTTTTTTATGGCATATACGATAACTTCGCTCACAAAAAAAAAAAAAAAAAAATACATTGTAACACACGAGAAATATATACTGGAGCATAATGTAGTAAACAAAGTGAAATAAAAATATGACCTATGCTTATTTGAAAACTTAAATGTAAACAATTCATGCATTTGTCTACATTAACCCTCTTCTGGCTATTCTTCATGTATGGCACGATTAACTACAACATCTCAAATTGTACAAAACACATACATATTTGGACCAATGCATTATGGTTTGGCGGACGCTTTGGTGTAGTGGTTAGAAGTGCGCGCTACCACTCCGCAGAGCCTGGGTTCTCGGCCTGGTCAAAGCAACATCGCGTAAAAATGTTCAAAAAAGGTTTTCTCTTAACAGCGGTCGCCCCTCGAAACGCAATGGCAAACTTTCGAGTGTATTTCTGCCATTATAAAGCTTCTCATAAAATTAATTTTCCGGTCGGAATCGGCGTAAAACTGTAGAAGCCTCCCCTTTGTGTGACAACATAAAGACGAGAATCAAAAATTAGAGGAAAACCTCGGCGAACCACTTAGCAAAAATGTAAGCACTACCATAGTATTGTAGCCCTTGACGGAAAGGAGAAACTTCGTGAGCTTCATATCATATGCTCTGCATATAACCCTGGACACTTTGCAGCCTTACGTTTTATTCACGCCTTCTGCGCCTTCCAGATCATGGACAGGTCAAGTTCCCGTTTAATCGCTTGGAGGGAAATCAGCACCTCCTCTATCAGCATGGTTTCCGACTAAGCATCCTCTTTGGCCAGCCTGTCGGTCTCTTTGTTGCCCACGATGCCGGTGTGTCCCGAAACGCAGTAAAGATGTACGTCACTATTGGGGTGTAGCAATTTCAGAGCTGCTCTGTACTCCGCCATACATCTCGAGGGAGGGCTATACGATAGTCGCGCCTTAATCACAGCCTGACTGTCGATGTAGGGATTCACCTGTTTGTTTACGAGGTTACTGCCCGGTAGCGCCGCCGCTCTCCTTATAGCCAGTACTCCCGCCTGGAAGATGCTGCAGTAGTTCGGCAGCTTATGGGATTTGTTGAGACCGAGCTCCGCACAGAGGACTGCCGCCCCTACGTCTTCCTCCATCTTCGACCCGTCTATGCAGCTGTTCACCGAGCCATTCGGCGCACCTATCGCCGTGAAGATCCAGTGGGAAAGAGAAGGCGGTAAGCTCCAGGAGCAACCCAGCATCCTTTTGCATGCATAGAATGCAACTGAGGCCTTCCTCGTCCTATCCCCAAACACTGAGGCGCCACGACAGTTTGCTATAGTAATATTCCGAGATACTTGGTGCTATGTTTCAGCTGGAGGGTCACCCCATCCCGTTTAGGCTTGGACCAGTTCGGAACGTTGTATATCCTGGTGAAGAGTACAGTTATACATATATATATATATAGTGTTCTAACTGGACATTTCTGACATGAGTAGTAAATGTTTATTACTCACTGTATCTTCGCTCTTGCATATTTATGTTAGTAATTTAATTCAATGATATCACTCAATATCTTTATATATGAATTGTTATAATGCGGTTAGTACTCAAAAAGTAGTTCGTAAGTAGCAAAATCTGTACTCATAACGCTTCTCAATTCTAAAAACCCAAATTCAAGTAAAAACGCAACAAAAAGTTACCGCGCAAGCAGCACTAACAAAGTATTGCTTATGCTCCAATAGGCACGCTGTCTAATTTCAACTCGAAAAAATGAAAATGCACCGAGGCTCGTTCAAGAAACATATTGTATCTAAGTAAGTATGTACTTATGTAAATAGTATATGAGCCAAAAACCATGCCAACAATATTGACGCGATTGCTAATTGCAACAAAAATGTTATCAACCATATTCGAAGTAGAACAAAAGTGAAGAGCACCGCAAAAGTGAAACAACAACAAAAAACTAAAATTACAACAATTTGTTGGGAATAACCTGGAATCTTGTTATGTGGCAAGCAGCATGCAACACAGCCAGCTTTCACTGTGGCACAGAATCGTTGGTAACATTAAATCCGCTCGAGTTACGCAACCACACAGACATACCCATGTAGATGCAAACATACAAACATATGTAGCTATGTAAGAATGCATGTGCACATGTTGGCGCATCTACAAGCAAACTGTGTGAGTTGGTCAGTACAACGGCCGGTAAAATAAGAATATCGGTGACTCAGGTCTCACGGCTGGTAAGGAAGGTATGTCTGGCCGCTTTCTGATTTGCCGGGCTTTCCAAAGCGACATGAGCGGCCATTACAGGCATACATACATACATACATATATGCGGTCTATATCGTATTTACGGGCTTTGTAAAGTGTTTGAAATAGAAAGTTACATTTTACTTCCTATGATGTGGCAGATATCATGCGACTAGTTGTACATATGAGCCAATTTGCCACAAGTAGTATGTATGTATGTAGACGCGAATGCTTGTGGTAATTGCACTTGGTCATTGTTAATCGGGTGCTACGTAACGTATGAGTGACATAACTTAACGTGTTCATTCGAACGACATGGCCAAGCCAGCGGAGCCGCTGTATTTTAATTCGCTGCACTATGTCCATGCCGTTGTAACGCTCATACAGCTCATCGTTCCATCGTCAGCGGTACTCGCCGTCGCCAACGCGTAAAGGTCTGTAAATCTTCCGCAAGATATTTCTCTCGAATACTCCAAGAGCCGCCTCATCGGATGTTGTCATTGTCCATGCTTCTGTGCCATATACCAGAACGGGCATGATGAGTGACTTATAGATTGTGGTTTTCATACGTCGAGAGAGGACTTTACTTCGACAAATAGGTGGTTAGTGTCGATCTCGATTCTCGCGGGTCTTTTCCAAGATTTGGCGTATTGGGAGTACCTGGTCTATAGTGGATTTTCCAGGCCTAAAGCCACACTGATAAGGCCCAGTTAGTTTATTTACGGTGGGCTTTCGCTCGATAAGACCTTGTAACCTAAGCTTAGAGCCCTGATCCCGCTGTAGTTGGCGCGAATGGCGGGGTCGCCTTTCTAAATCCGTGTAGCCGTTTCTGAGTGAAGAGAGGTCTCGTACGGTATCAGTTTTTGATTTGATAAAGTTTCAAATCGGTGACAGGTATAATGTCAATTATACAATTTCGCATACTGGTGCGAAACAAAGCCAGTTGATATTATTACCTTTTCAAATGCAAAATAAAATCCGTTGACATTATTGCTCTTTCAAACATCAAATTTGCGTAGCTGCGTGATCTCTTTCATCTATGGAAACAACACTTACGGGGCAAAGTTTATTGTAACATTCATATCTTTGGTACGATGCAAGAAATAAAATCTCTTTCTTTTAATCGACACAATTTAAGCATTATTTTTTTATTAACGACAATAGATGTTATGCTAAAACATACAAACATACATATATTTGTGCTATTATTTTGTAAATCAAAAACTTCATATTTATACAAATTCTTCAACATGGAATTTTCACCAAATTTCAAATTAATTTTATAGCAGAAACAGTTGAACGCCCAAATTTTCTTAATTTCTCCCAGCAGAGTTCCAATACGAAAACGAATATACTCAACGACATCAGTATACACATTCCAATGAATATCACGCGCAAGTCCTCCAACTTCAGTGACTCGAAACCAGGCTTTTTATTGGAATCCTCCAATTTGATTACTTTCATCGCCGTCAACTCTACAAAGCTGTGACGTTGCCAAAAGTTCATTAGTCCAGCTTCCTGCAGTGTCAAAAATAATTTATTCAAAGTTTCGCGATAAACCGAATTTACCGGCAAAGGCAACACCAAAGGTGTATCTTTTTCAAAGCAAATATCCGAAATTCGAAATATTGGCTTAGAGAAGTACTTCTGCTGCTCATTGTATATGGGCCACATATCAGGGGCCAGAAATGCATAGCGTGTGTCAAATGAGTCCCGAAGCAATAACATCTCTGTGTAGTTGGTAAAAATTGTAAAGTTCTTAATATACATAGACATATTTGTATAATGGCTTATCCAACATATATCGCTCGCGCTCACAGCTATCTTAATGCCACGATTTAGGACGTCCTCAATAGTTTTCATTTCCGGTTCTAAGGGGGCGTTTACAGTAAAACTTTGTAAGTAAGCATTATAGGCGGTACCAAATATGATACCCGCAAATGAAATGGTAATGCAAATATACTTCTGACTCCTTGAAAGTTGCCTTTTCAACCAAAATGTCATACCCAATAGTCCCTGTAGGACCGAGATATTTATAAAATATTCGATGAATAATGGCTGCCGCTGATCCTTCCAGCGGGACACGACAGCCAAAACGTACGAGATTAGTATCAAGCTGAAGCAGGGCATGTAATTGACATAGGTATCCATTATTTGGTTAAAGAAAGCTAATGGCGGCAATGGATTTTCCACGGGTACCATCAAGCACCAGTCGGTACGGTGCACCACAGTCGTTGAACTCAATTTAATATCACCAACTTCGATACGGGAAATTAAGCCAACATCTGCGCTGCCATTCTTAAGAGCGCCGCGTACTTCAAAATGATAAAGCGGTCTTTTCCGACTAGCAATGGATACTCCAGCGTGACATTGAAAACGCGCGCATACTCAGCGAACGCTCTGCCCATGTAGCCACTCACTATTTGGGACCCACCGGCAGGTGTATAGTTATAGGTTTTTGGATACCAAAGCCTTTCCATGAGGCGCATTGGCTGACCGTGCATATTCTTTATTCAACAGGCGAAAAGCGCATGATAAAATGTTTCGAATTTCCTTCTCACAGTTTGGCGAACGGGAAATGTTATTAACTTCCAATACTCGCGTTCTCCCACTGCCATTTGTGGCTGCAATGCAATGACGTTCGTACCACCCTTCCTTGCAGAAAATTCAAAAAGCTTATCCACATAGGCCTCACTGGCGGTGTCATCCAAGAGCAATATGATAGGTTTATTTCTGCTCCAGTGTAAACGCTCCAACAGTGTGCTTATCAAATGCTTGTCCCTCTTTGCGTTTTGACTTAGTTGCACAATGCTGAGAAAGTTATGCTTGAACAGGTCTCTATAGCGCTGAATGGGCGTGAATACATCGATGTTGATGACGGCAAAGAGCTTCTGAGGCCGAAGTTCTTGTAAAATATCCGGCACGTTTAAATGATCCTTACTTGGATTCTCGCTTCGGGTGTACAAAAAAGTGCGAATCTCCCCGCCGAATTGTTGGTGCATAGGTGATACGCCTATCAGATTGAGTATCGCAGTTAGATTGTAAAATAATTGCATTCTCTTTTTTGGTCCGGCTATGGCTTCTTTGAATGAAAGACTGAACTCTGCTGAAAACTTAACGGGTTACGTTACTCAGATGGTATGAAGTTGTTGATACGTTTTTGGGTAATAAATCTTCTTTTTTTATTTCTTTGGGACTTACTTAAATCAATTAATTGTGAATTGGTTTTTTACCTTTAAGTTAATAACAGCTAATTGCTTTAGTAGGTATACATTAGCAACTTGACTCCGTTAGCTGTTCAATAAATCTTCAAGTGTCAAACTGCTGGATCACTGTGGTGGAGAAATGGTAAGGGAAACTCTTTGCGGGGTGCAGCTCGTAATATTATCGCTCTGTAAATTCAATTTCAATTAGCAAATTAAAAGTTATTGATTTTGGGCAAGGTGATCAGCCGAAAGATGCGCTTACTGTCATCGCTCCCTAGGCGCTACTATCCGCTCGCATGTACTGCCGGAAGTACGGCTACACTCTCCGCGTGGGAGTGGTTAAAAACTGGTTATAGCTACTGTCATGTCTCTGTATATAGTGCTGGCTAGTAGCGGCCGGAGTGAAAATTCTCATGATTGGCCTGATATTGGTCTACCTACCTCACGGACTGCCTTCTGAGTTAAGTCTGCTTTCCGCTGGGGTTGGGCCCCAAGTTATATGAGAGCAAGTCGATGGACGCATAGCCCAGGGTGTGCCTGCTTCCTAGTATTCAGACTTTGGACATCGACTTCTGGTTTTAAATCGAATTGCTGTGTGTTAGGGATGGCCGTTTGCCAATTCTTGCGGAAACAAAATATGGAAAACTTACGGCTGGTAATCCGCCTGCTGTTATCTTACATGGAGCCATTGGGCACTCGCAAGGAGACTCTGAGACGTTTTCGTCGGAAGCCATGGGGCGTCCGAACTACGGCTGATTAGCAAGAGCTCCACATTTAGTTGCCGGCTATTTCGTCGATCTACACTGATAGCGGTTTAGGGTCCAGTCTTTTTGTGAGTGTTCAGGACTAAACGAAGTCGGTCCAGCGCTACGGCAAAGTCAACATAAATCTAACTTCTGGCTTCAACTTTAGAGAGAGAGAGAGAGAGAGAGAAAGAAGACAATTTTCAAGCCAGATAATGGAAAAGAAGCCCTTAAATGCTCATATTGTGCCCATGTAAGCCCCTTAAGCCTTATGGCATTTATATATAATCGATCTGGGTTACAGTTGACCCCGCCAATCAACCGGTTTTAACGGAGCTATTATCTCAGCAGGGGCAAGCCATTGCCGACGTCTCGATTATTCAGGACTGGCGTAAAGTCAGAGCTATGCAGAGGTATGAATCCACCGAGTTGGGTGGCATGTCATCGTCTTCTCGGAAGCCGTAGCCGCGATATAGCTACGGTTTCACGAAGGAACACATGAAGGTCGACTGTAGTCTGGAGGTATCTCTCGTTGACGAAATGCATTTACTTCAAACTCACGACGTCATCTGCGGCTAAGTATGTTCCTCAAAGCATCCAGCTCACATACGAGAAAGTTCTGGCTTAAACCTAAACTACGAGCTGAAAGGTTTCTCTTGCGCTGGTTAGGGTCATCATCTGCACATTGTTACTATCATTAATCATAATTCAATAATTAATTTAACCGAACCGATCACGTAAAGGTTTTGATACATCAAATTGATGCAACGGTCGAAATAGCAGCAGGGAAATAACTGACCGTAGAGTAAAGGCTAGCGGTAGTGGAAGCCGTAGACCCAGCTAAATCCGGACTGGACTTGCGGCCATCTACCAGTAAAGCTGGAAAAAGGCCATAACAGCTGAATAAGCTGTTATGGTGAAAACTCCTAAGCCCACTACACGTTCGTAGACGATTCAGCTTCTTGCCACAGTTCCCAATCACTACCATGTATCAGTCAGGCAACTGTTTCATGATATAGAGTAGCGTTGTCAAAAGGCCTCTCACCAAATTTTATACGTCCTGTTAAGAGGACCGCGCACCATAACCTTTGATCTAATGTACTTTTCAATCATGTGCTCCATTCTCCTCATAAAAAAAGATATCCGACTTATTGGCATCAAGCTCCTTGCTAGCGCATAATCACCACTCCCCGATTTGGGAATGCTTTTGAATATGGCCAAATGCAAGAGAGTCCTAAAGAATTTATTAGGGCCCACCTTTGGAGATCATGACAACGTAACCATACATTTGTGGTTTGGTTAAGAGGTGGCCCATCCATAAAAGACCAGAACATGGACGATCTCAAATTGCACTCTCTAAGCATGGTGGAGATTAACCCGCCAGTAAGAAGGTCTATGCTTGGGGTAGAAGAAGAAATTTTTCAGTGTACGGTAAGTATGAGTTCGTAATAATTTAGCTATAAATAAACATTTGGTCATCTAAATATATAATTGTGATTGTACGTATATATGTATAATTGTATCTGCACTATGGTGGAGCGGAAAAATCTAGTTTTCGATTTCGATATCTATGATAGTGCGGAAAAGTTGCGTAACTGGATCATACTGGACGGCATTAAACCGATCGTATAGTATTTATTTATTTATTTATTTATACGTTTATTATTTTAAAAGATTTTGTGTACCCAGTCTTGTAGCTCATTAAATGTTATGCTGGTATTGAGGAAGTCAATCTCATCTCAAGTCACTAAATTTGAGACTATCAACTAGTGACTCATTTAGTGACTTGAGATGGTTTGGTTATTCCGTAAGAAAGAGTCACAAAAAGTTTACAAAAATTGTGTGATGACAACAAAGAAAACAGGGGCACTCAACTGATAGCATGCATGTATGTATGCCATTTTGCTCGCGCCTCTACAACAGTCGCAATGGTCGAGTGAGCAGAGCACTAGACTGTCGCTCAAGAGTTCCGAGGTCGAATCCTCGAATAAAAATTTATATTTTTAATCCACCCTAATGTGCACACTGACCCTTGGCGCCAAACGCACCATATAAAAAATATCGAAGATTAATATTTTTAATTAAACTGAGTGAACTCAACCGCAATAAACTGAAGTTGTATACTCGTCATAACCATCAAAAATATTTTAACTTCTACCAGCTTGTTGGTAGTGGCGAGTTGAACAATAAAAACAGAGTATTAAACTTAGCCAACGGATAAAGTTCGAAAAAATATCCGTGTACTTATTCAACATAGCAAAGTCAATATCTTTAATCTTGCACCACCATGCAGTTTTTTCAAAATCTCACCGCTCTTCTAAGCCTGATTACGCTATCACCGATCGACCAAGAATACGCTGAACTTGTAAAAGATATCTGCTTAGCTACAGCCGCTGAACACGAAATTCGCACTTTCATCTACACTTGTGGCGACGACGAGAGCTCCGATCATCATTTGGCGCCGGTAATCTTACAAAAACTGCAGACTAAAAATCCAATACCTCTGCTCAACATCGATGCACTTGCACCCGTTGAACTTTACAAAGACAAATTCAATCTTAATTTACTCAGCATTGTGCAGCTCAGTCAAAATCCATCAAGCAATGATAAAGTTTTGCGCACTTTATGGCAGCGATTGCACCTGAATGTACAAAGTGATCTTGTATTGCTTTTCGATGATAAAGCAAGCGATGAATATGTGGCAGAAATACTTCAACTCTGTGCTGAAAATCGTGCCATAAATGTCATTGCTTTGCAGCCACAAATGGCAGTGAAAGAACGCAGCTACTGGACAATGAAACTATTTCCCGTACAGCGAACTATCAAACTGACTTTTCCAGCATTCTATCGAGCCATGTTCCCGAAACATATGGAAAATATGTATGGCCATGAGTTTCGTGTTTTCGGTAATATATGGATTCCACGGTTTTACGACTACAAACCGAAACGCGGGCCAGCCACAATAAGTGGTTTCATGGGCAGAGCTTTAGCGGAGTACGTGAAGCGCCACAATGGCACTATTGTTTATTCACTCACTAATGAGTACAATCTTTCGCCGAGCCAATTCGTTTCTAGAATGAAAAACAGAACTACTGTCGTAGGCAAACTTGTTGGCATGCAGTTTCCGCATGATGATGTGGTTTTAACAAATACCATACATATCATGGATACATGCCTAATGATACCGTTGGAAGAGGGTCTTCCTAAACTAACATTCTACTATGCCATTTTAAACAAAACCGTTTTAATTTCATTCTTCTTCAGTTTTGTATTCATTTCTTTTGTTTGCGCTCTAATAACTCGTCTAAAAACCGGACAGCAAGTGCCGCTCATTGAATACTTTGTGAAATTCTCAGTGCTCCAAGGCCTGTTCGGCATGCCATTTTGCACTTCACGCATTCACAGAACCATCGCAATTACCATTTCATTTGCGGGTATCATTATAGGCACCGCCTACGGCACTTACCTGCAGAGCTTTACTGTGAACGCACCAATTGCCTCACCAATAAAAACCATTGATGATATATTGAAACGTGGACTGAAGATACCTATTTTTGCCCCTTGGATAAAAAGTGTGAAGACCATACCAGAATTTGAGAGCTACACAGGAAATTTTACTCTTTTCAACAATCTCTCCGAAATATTATCATTGCGAGACAAATTTGATACGCACTATGCATTTCCGGTCGAAAATATGTGGCTTATATATAATGAGGCACAGAAGTATTTTTCAAAACCGTTGTTTCGCCTCTCCGACATCTGTTTATGGAATAAGATGCCAATGGCATTGCCATTGCCTGAAAACTCAGAATATCTTGCTAGTTTAGATATATTTCTGGCACGACTGCATGCTGCGGGATTGATAAACCACTGGTTAAAGCATACTATAATAGAGTTGTTGGAGATGGATTTGATTTACTTTGAAGATCGCAATAAGCAGCCGGAATTCGTCCCACTGAAATTGCAAGACTTGCGAATGGTACTCATAGCAATGGGTGTTTTAGAAGCGTTAAGCGTAATTTGTTTTTTGCTCGAGGTATTTTGGGTAAAACTAAGCAAACTAGGCAATCTGATCAAAAAATTAATACGAAAGTTAAAGACTATTAAAAAGTAAATAACGCATTTATAAAGCAATGCTTTTGCACTGGTAGCTAAGCGGTTGCTATTTACTATTTAACGCTTATCTATAAATTAATACGCTAACATAAATTTTGTGGTTGCTCGATTGGCGAATCCACTGATCCGATTTCTAAACCACCGCAGAGCGCTATTGGTTCAATTTATCAGGTTATCCATGTTTATTGAGTTATCAGAACGTATCGAGTTATTTAAATTTATCTATGTTTATAGAGTTATCCAGATTTATCGAGATATAGAAACTTAGTTATGGAGTTATAAAAATTTACCGGATTATCGAAATTTTCTAAGTCGTTCAAACTTATCAAGCTAAGGGGATTTATTGAACTATCCACATTTATGGAGCCACCAAAATTTATAGACTTATCAGAGGTTATCAAGTTCAAAAAAATATCGATGTATTAGGTTTTTTCAGCTTATCGAAAGTTTTTGGCTTGTCGAATCGAAGTTTATGGAATATTCGAAGTATGTACTCGTGTTATCGAAATTTCTAAAGTAATACGAGTTCATCGAATTACTACTACTTTCAGATTTTTCGAATTTTATCGAGTTACCAAAACTTACTTTTGAATTCGAAACCAAAACCATAGTTCGAAAGATATTTTTCTGAAGATGTCGGGAGTTTTTGCGGTTTCAAAATTGATTTGGATTTTGAGTTTATTTTGTTACGAAGACGTAAACGAATGTAAATACGTAGATCAAGGCCGCGATAAATACGTCCACTAACACCAATATGAAGAAGAATACGAGCACAAATATGAAATCGAATAAGAAGATCAACTAAAGACGGAAGGAAGTACGAGGACGATTACGTTTTTTTTTTGTTACAGTTTGTGTTTTATTTAAGGAAAGTTTTTGTGTTTCAAAATTGGTTGGAAAATGCCTCAAACTTGCGTATTTTGTCTGCTTATAGAAGAATTTTTAAAAAAACATGGTTTATAGAGTAATTGTCAACCATAAGGCTATAATGCTAGTAAATTGTTTAAAAAAAGAAACCAGGCCGAATTTCGACAGTAACTGGTATTTCTAATTTGCACTAATCGCTTTGATTGTCGCTTAAAATTCTGTGAATATTTGTAAGCAATAAAGGTAATAAAACCAATGGAGAAACACCAGTATTTAGTTTTCTTCTTTGAGTGGATACGCTTAATCTATTATAAAACTATAGACAAGGAAAGTAAAATAGGAGCACAGTGGCTCGGTAGAGGACGGAAAAGATGAGGGACAACAAAAAGTAGATGCGTTAAAGGTGGAACGGGGAGTCGGCGCTGATTTTTGCTGGAGTCGTGTTATTACTAAAAATCTTATTCTTGATCTGATCCGCCAAGAGGATCCAGAGTCGAGTTATTACTAAAACTCCTATTTATTTATGATCAATTTGGCTCATTTTCAAGATTAGAGAGCGGTCGGTTTCAATTAAAAAATTAATTTTGGGCGGGTCGAAGTTCGCCGGGTCTGCTAGTTCTACACAAATTTGGTGAGTAAAAAATTTTTCCAGTGCTTACTTTAAAAAGGGATATTTAAAAAGTACCTAGGAAGCGAACTGAATTGTTATTAGGACAAGTAAACATTAAGTTTGCATGTCAAATTTGAAATAGTTGCAGCTGCGATAAACTGCGAGCACAGCTTCACCTAAAAAAAATTTTGGTTTTTTATTGTATTTATAGCAGAAGGAAAGTATTCTGATTTGAACACAAAATAAATAATATTCGAAATGGAAATGCAAATGGAAATGGAAATGGAAGTGGGTGTAGATATTTATGGCTCACGAATCAAGAGACAGTGGATAAAAGTGGACGAGATCCGCTTGCCATGGCAAAAGTTCTGCTTGCATTACCTCAGCTTTTGCTGTATACACTGTAGGAAGAATTGAAGGTTTAAGTTCAAGTACATATTCTGTCTTATCCTGAGTTTCGCTCCGAAAAAATGGAAACCAAAAGCGAAAAGTGAACCTATTCGGGAAAACTGAAACTCATGATAAGGCTGATTTACTAAATATGCATAATTCAATATAATAATAAGGTGTTGTAAATGTTTACGGTATGTCATTATCATAAAGAATAATTGGAAACTGCTGTAGAAAAAAAAATAAATGTATTTTTTTTATTTTTTCCAAAATTCATATTTTGTGAATCCAAAGAAGTTTTGGAGAAAGTGGACGTAATAGTAAGAAACTCTGCAGTATCTTCCAAACAAGCAGGATACACCAATTTCATCGAAATATTATATTTTTGAAGTGACACTTCTTTAGCGGCGGTTGGTTGGTTGGGAGTATCTTGGCAAATTCAACGGAAATTGCTCACGGAAAAGATGCAACGGAAATGATGCAACGGAGGTGGTGCAACGGAAATGGTTGCAGCTGAAACAAGTGCTTCTTGAGTTGCATTACTTACTTTATTTCCAAATTTTTGTTCACTTTGTTTCTCTTTTGAAAAGGTAATAACGTCAATTGATTTTATTTCGCATCACTGTGAAATAGTGCCAATTGACGTTATATCCGTTGATCTTGTTACCTGTCACCTTTCAAATCATTTTGTACCGATAAAAAAGTTATGAATGCAAAAAATAAAACCTTATCGCACATCTAGAGGCCAAGGTCTTTAATTTCACCTTTAATTTTGAAATTCGAAAGAACGATGCAAACGTAATGACCTTCACAACAAATGCCTTGCCGTATAATGTAAGTACATATTTTTAGATACTAAGTTAGAACGATATGACTTTTCGAAAATGTGGCAAGTCTAATCGAAGATATTTTAAAACTATAGCCCCATTGATACCAATTTTTTAACTTTTTAACCAACTTATTAAATAATTTGAATGTAACTTTTTAAACACGTGGCAACCCTATTCAAACATTTCAGATGTTCAAATCAAATATTTCTTACCACTCTTTCGTTTGACACCCGCATTTTTATTTATAACATATAACGTGTGTATAAGTTGATTAAATTCAACTTTCCAAACAGGCGGCAACCCTCTTCAAAAGTATTTGTAGGCTTAAACCTTAACTAACCGTCGTTTTACATTGCGATACATATTTTAGATTACTGATGAATAAAGTGGAATTGAATTTGAAACATTTGGCAACCCCGCTGACTACAGTTCAAAAATAAAACCCTTCAAACCCATTTCTATTGATACCCATATTTTAATAATTCATTTAAATTATTGAATAATTGAAATTTAAAGTTTTAAACAGGTGGAAACCCTATTAACACAATTAAAAAATACTATTAGTGTTCAAGCTAAAGATTTCTTAACACTCTTTCGGTTGACACCCATATTTTACTATTTCATATAACTTGTGTTAAAGTTAACTAAATTCTTCTTTTCAAACAGGTAGCAACCCTCTTAAAAACATTTTGAAACTACTAACTTCCTAAACCCCTTCCTTCTGGCACTTATGTGGTGGTACATTTTTCCACATATTACCTATTCAGTGGTGGAGCCCATTTATTACATTCTACCGTGTGCCAAGGAGGTTCGCAAAAAATATCTGGTACAAACGGAGTTACCCGTTCTACATTGGCGGAACTATTGCAAACGGAAAAACGGGTGGGAGGAAGCTGGGATAGCTTGAAATAAAAATCCAATCCATTTGCTCGAACATTTACTATATCTGTTACAACTTTACTCTAATAAGGATAGTCGCCTAAGCAGAATGTAATTAGTTCTCATCGGTGGATAGGTGAATATAATCCAGCGTAATGTGCAATGTAACTTTACGCTTTTGTTTTCAACTAACAGCGGCGCTCGCAAATTTAACCGCGTACCAATTTTGAAAATTAACCGCAGAGCCAGAGATATAATCACACAGCCGAAAAGTGAAATTTAATTATTTTCTATCTATATATGGGCATGCATAAGTATACATACATATGTATCTATATTCACACATACACCTGCGGTCTAAATAATAGCACCTCAACATTTTGACCAGTTTTGCTATTTTCGTTTTGCTTATTTAATGTTTATTATTTTTTTTAAATAAAAATTTTGCTCATTATATAAAAAATGTCATATAAATCCACATCTCACAGTTTGTAAAAAAATATCAATATTCAATAATTTTCACCAAAATTTTAACATTTTTATTCAGAATTTTTTGAAAAAATTTAGTTCCATAGCCCATTGAATTTTCGTATAATAAAGTGGAAGTTTGAAGTGCCTACAAAATTGCATACCAAAAACTATTCTAAAAATTTTGATTAAGAGGTTTAAAATTTTAGTGAAAATTTTTTTAATTTTCTTAAGTGTTTGTACAAAGCTTTTGTTTTTTAACCGACTTCCAAAAAAGGAGGAGGTTATCAGTTCGTCGGAATTTTTTTTTTTTTTTTTTTTTTTTTTTTTTTTTTTTTTTTTTTTTTTTT